ATTTTATGTGTATGAGTGTATTGCCTGCATGTGTGTGAGTGCATCCGTGTCCTGCAATGCCGCGGAGGTCAAAAGAGGGTTACAGATTCCCCTGGAACTGGAGTTAAGGACAGTTTGAAGCTGCCACCTGGGTGCTGGGAATCAAACCCAGGTCCTCTGCAAGAGCAGTCAGTACTCTTAACCGCTGAGCCATCTCTCCAGCCCCAGAAACTACAATCTTAATTCTATTAAGTGTGTGCATTTAATACATACGTAGAGATAGAATGAAAGTATTACAGCAAACCAGATAGCAAATACAGTTCATGTTAAAAGAAGGGACTTGTGGTGGGTGTGGTGGTGCATGCCTTTAATCCCAGCACTTAGGAGGCAGAGGCAGGCAGATCTCTGTGAGTTCCAGCCCAGCTGGGGCTACAGGGAGACTCTGTCTCAAAAAGATAAGAAAGAAAGAAAGAAAGAAAGAAAGAAAGAAAGAAAGAAAGAAAGAAAGAAAGAAAGACTCACTGTTGGTAGAGCATTCTCACCACAGTTTGTTACATTTTCTCACCTTTAGTACTTATAAAAGAATCATGCTGTGTGTGGTGGCCCATGCCTATAATTCCAGTATTTAGAAGGATAGGACAGTTGGGATAATAAATTTGAGTCCAGCCCAGTCTACACAGTGTGATCCTGTCTCAAAAAAGAGCAATAAAAAAGAATTATAAGAAATACCTTCATATATACTTACCAGATCAATATTTTGCATTATATCTTGAAATGAAGGATGAGTTCGAAATTGCTCAAAGAGGTCCCGTTTGTAAAGCAGTGCATACACCAAGTTTGGGTTGTGGTGAAGAGAATTTGTCAGGCAGGAGTTGATGATCTCCAACATCATTCGAATCACTTCTTCAATGACATTGAGGTCCTGTGCCTTATGAAGAAAGTAAATCCCAACACACAGTCAGTGTTTTTCTTCTTCCCATTGAAGTAATCAAAATACAACTGACTTTCGACATTTGAATAACATTGGAAAGATTATGCAGGAATGTCCTCAATATTTTGTTAAGAATTTTAGAATTAGGTTCATTAGTCACCAAGGGATGTGAGTTAAAATGGTTTGAACTTAGTATGGTATGATTTGGAATTTCACAAAATAAATTATATACTAACCAATTCAGGAAAATTTGTAGTCTACTTAGCTCTCCTCTTAACAGATCCTTATTTGGATTTTCAACCTAACTCATTAGATTGCCACAATGTAACAAAGTGGTGGGGTCTGTCTGACCCATTCCAAGGAAACTATTAATTCAGAAAACAACCTCAATATTCTACACTGCCATTTCAACCTTTAAAGATAAATAGCCTGTGGTTATATCACTGTTTCCTCAGAGTTCAGAGTTGTGATAGTTGTGACTGTCAATTTGACTTGACTCGGAATCAGAGGAGACACAGCTCTAGATACTACTTTGAAGGAGTTTTTAGAGAGGTCTAAAACTAAGGAGTAAAACCCATCCTAAATGTAGGTGGCACTATCCCATGGGCCAGGGTCCAGGTCTGAATAAAGAGGGAAAAATGAGAAAGCAAGCTGAGCACCAGCATTCTTTTCTTCTTGGGAGAGGATACAGTGCGATCAGCAGTCTCATGCTTCTACCCCCAGGCCTTCCCACTCGTGTGACTTTATTCCTCTGAACTATCAGCCAAAATAACTCCTTCCCTTAAGTTGCTTGTCAAAAATCTACATTGATGAGAAAAGTAACTAAAACAATGGACTTTCAGAGTCTGAATGTGAAATGGCTGTAAGACAGCGAAACTCAAGGTAAACAACCAACAAAGCTTTTTCTAAGAGACCTGCCCTAGGCCCCTTCTAGAAGGGCAGGAGTGTGCTTCCTCCTGAAGGGCTTTCTAGTGTTCTTCCCATGTAGCTGAGCTCCCAGGTACTGTTGCCTCTTTCCAGGCCTCACGCTCTCAGCTAGCTCATTGTTCCCCACCCAGACTTCTTGTTTTGTTTTGGGTTTATCACAAAATATTGACCTCATTTTGGGGCACAGCTATTTTATTTTATTTTTTTGTCTTTTTGAGATAGGGTCTCCCTGTAGCCTAGCTGATCTGGAACTCCCTTGTAGACCAGTCTGACCTTGATTTCATTGAGATCTGCCTGCTTTTGCCTCGAGGGTGTCGGGATTAAAGGCTTGTACCACCACACCCAGCACAGCTATGTATTTTAAATACTTTCTTGTTATAAATATTTATGAGTTATGTTTTTAGAGCAAAGGGAAGATTAGCTTTCAGACTTGGAAATGACAACATATTGACCAGAACCTCTTCTCAATTGTACTCACATCCTATTTAGTGTTTAAATTATTAGAGAAGGAAGAGACTATGAGAATTTTCAGAATTTTCCTTTTTTAAATATTTTTTATTTTTATTTTTATGTGTATGTGTGTGTTGCCTGCATGTAGGTAAGTGCACCCATGTTGTGTAATACCCACAGAGGACAGAAGAGGCTGTCAGATCCCCTGGAACTGGAGTTTGGGACAGTTGTTAGCTGCCATGTGGGTGCTGGGATTCGAACCCCAGTCTTCTGCAAGAACAGCCAGTGTTCTTAACTGGTGAGCCATCTCTCCAGGCTGAGTTTCAGAATTTTCTATGTGGTCATTTTAGAAGAGTCCAATGACATAGTATAATTAATTCAGAAACATAATTCAAAATACTAGCTTTCTGAATTTTATGTTAATAAGTATTTTATACTGATTTAAGTATATGTTAAACTTACCTTTCCAAGATTACATATCTGCTGATAGTTTATGCTCAATGTTTAATGAAGTAATTGGCTAAAATGAACAGGACTTGCTCACTTAAACTTAAGCTAAAGCATTATTTATTCCCAAGTCAGGAAAGTATAATGTAGAACCTTTAAAATCAATAAGCATGCTCTGAATTAGCTGCTGCTGCTTCTGCTGCTTCTGCTTCTTCTTCCTCCTCCTCCTCTTCCTCCTCCTCCTCTTCTTCTTCTTCTTCCTCTTCCTCTTCCTCCCCTCCTCCTCCTCCTCCTCCTCCTCCTCCTTCTTCTTTTTTGAATGAGCAGTGTTTCATGTAGCCCAGGTCAACCTTAAACTCACTATGTAGGTGAGGCTGGTCTTGCCTCCCCTCCCCCAATCCCTGTGTCCAATCCCTGTGCTGTGACTATGTATCAATCTGGCAGAAGTATCTTTAACAATGATACTAACAGGCTGGAGAGATGGCTCAGCGGTTAAGAACATTGGTTGTTCTTGCAGAACAGCGGGTTCGAATCCCAGCACCCGCATGGTAGCTAACAACTGTCTATAACTCTAGTTCCAGGGGATCTGTCCTCCGTGGGCATTGCACGACACAGGTTCACTTACCAACACGCAGGCAATACACGCATATACGTAAAATGAAAATAATAACCTTATACTTAAAGCAGTTACTAGGTTTCTGATACTGTTTCTCTCATAAGCTTTAATGTAATCTTCTATAGACTATATTTAACTTCAGATATAGAAATTAAGTGGTAGAAAATACAGTTTTTGTCATTACTCAGATTAACTGAAACTATAGTTTGGGGAGATAGAATAAAGCAATTTTATAGGATATCAAACTTTACTGGATTGTAAGGCATTTTTGGGATTTTAATGTTGTGAAATGATTAAACAAAAATGAGAAATTACATATAATTTAGAGGTTCAAGTTTAACTTAAAAAGTAACTGACTATAATAGTCTATCAATATCTCTTTTAAAATGTAGCATTGTTAATAATTTAGGTTATTAAAATTTCAATATAAAGTTGACTCTACATCTCAGCACAAATACCCTTTTCATGAGATAAGGTCAGTTTCCTTCCTGGTTACACCCAGGGTGAAATTCTAAATATTTAACTAGTAGGTACCATCAGTCCTATTGGCTGAAGGCTGTGCACAGCTCAGGCAGCCCTAAGGCTGCACCAGCTGGATGCCAATTATAGTTAATTCCCACAAGGGCTCTCAAAGGGTCTAATTCTTGAGAAATAAATGAGGCTGCCTTGAAGTCAGGTATCTACATTGATTGGTTTTAATTACATTCCTAAAACTGTACCAAAAACTGCTACATACATCATTTTATTCAATTTAGTAATTCTTTTGCTAAGTCCTGAGTTAGAAAGCTTACAGTGTGAATCATAAAACCATAAAGTGTACTCTTAAGTTGCACTGGACACTAAAGCTAGTACTCTTTTAATGCCATTCCTTCCACACATCCCCACTGCGAGCCAGGCTATTCTTGAATATACAGCATAGGGTTCTTGAATCTAGTTCATTTCCATTTTAAGTGACAACAGTCCTTGGCTAACCACAACTTTAATTATTCTTTAAGACACAGCCAAAATTCCTACTACAGTTTCCTAGAAACTGTACTGCGGATTCCATCCCTGCTGGAAGAGAAACTGCAGCTTTCAGGCACCAAGCAGATCTTGAGATGATCAGGGCCAGAGTAGTAAAATTACATGCAAGAGATTCCAATTTACTAAAAACACAGTGTCAAACTTTGGGTTAATTCCAATTTCCAAGAAACACTATCCCAATAAATATAATTCAAAACTTAATTTGAATCTTCAAGTTGCTACTCTGACTAGATCCTGACACAGGTACCTGGTAAATCAATAAAATCCTTTCTGTTTCATTTAAAAAAAATTATTGGGCAATAGTCACTATTTGCAAAGGATGATGAGTTAGCATGAAATTGGAGAGCTTCTTTTAAATGATATTATTACCCAAATTTCAGTACTTAGATAGATCTAAAAGATAACTTAATCATAAGTTAAAACAAAACCAAACAAACAAAACAAAACTGTTTGTTCTTTTTGAAATGGTGCTGGGGATTGAATCTAGGGCTTTGAGTAAGCTAAGCATGAACTCTACCACTGAGTTAAGCCCGTGGTTTTATATATTATTATTATTTTTTTTTTCCTGTGAGTTCTAATTCAGGAGCATTTGTAAGGTCTTTAAAAGTGTAACACAGGGAAGTAACACACGACTGCTTTTCAAAGTGAGAATATTATTAAAGTATATTATTAAAGTTTTAAATGAGTCAAAATTTACTTCATTAATTTTTAACTGGTCTTTTAGGAGATGTTTACAATTAGAGAATAAAATAAAGTTTCATAAAAATGATATGGTTTGCTGGTTGTGGTGGCACACAGTTTTAATCCCAGCATTCAGGAGGCAGAGGCAGGTGGGTCTCTGTGGGTTCAGCCTGGTCTCATAGTGAGTTCCAGACAAGCTCAGGCTATAGGAAGACTATCTTAAAAAGGCCAAAAAAAAAAAAAAAAAGGAGCATGGTTTTAAAAAGTAACCATATTTCCTCTGTATTCTGTCAAAATTGCCTTTGCCAGAGATGTACTTTGAGCTAGCAATAAGGCTGCCTAGCCTGTAATATCCAGCACTCAGGCAGAGGCAGGCAGATCTCAAGTTCCATGCCAGTCCAAGATACACTGAGGAAAGCCCTGACCCAAAACCAAAAAAAAAAGCTGATAGCTAATCAATATAACAACAAAATATGCAAAGGTAACAAAAGTGTGTGCCTTTTCCATTCCCTGTCTCATTTGTGGGGGTTGGGGGGCACACATGGCTTGCACAGCAGGGATGGGACCCAGACCAAGAAGCCAACAAGCAAGCAAGTAAAAGAAAAAAAAAAAAGTGGGTGTGTGTGTGTGTGTGTGTGTGTGTGTGTGTGTGTGTTATATTACTGCAGACAATTTCAATGTAAAAACAAAGGCCCTGAGAAAATGATCCCAATTTTCAGATGTTTCTGATCGTACATGTAGGGAATGAAAGTCCAACAAATTCTATGCTAAGTAGTAATTTAATACTGATAGACAAGTTGGCAGTTGTAGGGATATTTTACCTAGTTAACAACACTCAGAGTTGCCTCTCATT